CCTCAAGATTAAAGTCCCAAGCCAAATCAAACAACCTCGGATCTATGGTTCACAGTTTCCATCTCCTTATTTAGATGGTGAAGGAGCTAAGTAATGCATCATTGCTTATTTGTTCTCATGTGATTCCACGATAAGTCCGCTCTGTTCATCTTCTTCTTCCCAAACCAAGATTCCTAAGCCAACTCCAACGACTTTTTACTGCTTTTCAATTTGAGGGACCTTATTAAGCTTCTGCTTCATAGTCTCCATCTCTGTGGTGGTTACTATTGTCTCCAGTTTCGCTGCTGCTATTACTACTCTCGCATTCCTCCCTCAAGATCTGTACACCGCACTCAATAATCTTATCATCGTTTTCCCTGCAGCTGAATTTAAACAGAATCTCATTCGTAGTCACATCCAATTCATAGCATTTGTCCGTTTGAAACAAGTCCCCGCAAAAATATTAGCTTTGTCCCTCGCAAAGAAGCATACAACGCTTAGTAATTACATCTTTCAAATCATTATTAATTGTAACAAAAGTTATAAAAAAACCAAACATAGTTATAGCTAGATCTTTCAAATCATAATGCAACTTCGGTCCTCTTCTTCTTCCACAAACCAAACTTCCTAAGCCAACCCCAACGACTTTTGTTGTTTTCATCTTGAGAGAACTTAACAGCTTCTGCTCCATAGTCTCCTTCTCGAGCTGTGCTGTGGTTGCTGTTACCTATAGTTTCAAAGTAATCAACTTTGCTGCTGCATCTACTCTCAGCTTCCTTCATCAAGATCTGTACACCACACTCAACAATATTGTAGTTACCCCCGCAGCTGAATTCAAGCAGAATCTTGCTCGCAATCACATCTAGGCATGTATTTTCTTGAAACAGGTCATCATAATAGATAAACAGATGTTCAGTTTGAATCTTCGCCTGACTATGAATCACCACCCGATGACGGAATTTGTTAACAAGAACACCTCCTCTGGTTATAAGTCCTCTGCTTATAAGACGACAAGTTATTTCAAAATTTGGGTTGCCTTCTTCGACTGGTGAAAGCACAAGGCAAGCCTTATATCTTAAGGACATAGAGAAAGTCTCCTCACCAACCGCAGGAAGAGGGATGGTTATGGAGTTCTTTTCAGCTTTGTGAGTGAACTCTGCAGGGACTTTTTTACCCGGTAACAATACAAACCGTTCAACCCTTTGTTGTATGATCTCTCTTCTTGCTTCTTCATCCAGTTTCAAACAGTTGTGGAACATAAGTAGCTTGACTGGATCATGGAAAGAACATACTCTCTCAAGTGATCCACAATTGTTTGCATATAGGTACTCAAGCGAACGGGAAAGATCCGGCAGCGACACAAGTTTTCTGCAGTATTGGACTCTAAGAGTTCGTAACCCAGAGAGCTCTATGACGCAATCTGGAATCCTCTCTATTTCAGTATAGCTTAGGTCTAGGAGAGTAACGTTTGGTGGGACAGATGTTAATTTCTTCAGTCTTCTGCCGTCCATGAAAAACTCCTCAAGATGAAGCCAATTTTCAACAATTGATGGAGGAACTTCTTTTATCTTTGTGTTTCCTAAATAAAGATATTTGATGTTTCTTGATATATCTGGAAACATTCTCAACTGTGAGCACTGATACATGTTGACTTTCTCAAGAGATGCTAAGTTGATGTTCGTTGGAACGACTTTTAGCCTTTTACACCCCAACATCATCAACGTTTTCAGTTTGTGTAGATTCGAAATGGAGGAGGGAAGCTCCACCAAACTTGTGCAGTATTGAAGTGTCAATATCTCGAGATTAGTAGCATTCGAAAGATTAGGGATCTCTTTCAACTTATCGGAAAAACTCAAATCTACCTTCCTGAGACTTGCAAGGGGCTGCATGTCCAACAAATGAGAAATGTCATACCTAAGTTGGAGTATGAGAAGGATATTTGAAAAAATAAGATACCAACCTCGATTCCTCTCCAGAGCTTCTCGAGTTTGCTGTTTGGCATTATGAGCGCGATGAGACATTCTAGCCGAAATGTTGAAGGAAGACGTTTTCTCGGGAATGATTCCCAAAGTAGTAACCTTAGACGAGGTAGATACTTCATGTCTTCCTGTATCCGTAATGTAACCTCTTTACTAAAAGGTTTCCGATAGATTCTTAAGAATCGTAGATTACGCATTCCTTCAAAGGCTCGCCCGCTTATAGAGAACTCATTGATCTTGGACATATCAAATGATATACCTATGACAGATCCAGTGCCCTAACAAATATTCCAAAACAAGACTAGTGAAATTCTTATCGCAAGAACATGGTAGATTTATTGAGCAAGATCTCTAGGGATTATAGTAGACTTACTGTTTCATTTGCCAGCACATCACAAATCTCTTTGGCCTCAATTAGAAACTGACGTTTTTCGGGCTCATCAGACTGTTCAAGAACTATGTGTCTTCCCAATTGTTGGACTAAAGGATGCATTACCATACATCCAACGGTGATGTGCACAAGATATTTATCGGCTAGGATCTTCAACCCATTTCTGACGTCCAAGTTACTGTCAGCAAGCAAGGTTGTCACCTTATTAATGTGTGCAGTGTTGAAGAAGCATGCAATGTGAAGAAAAAGAACTTGTTCTTTCTTTGACAATTTTTCATATGCCACTTTTAATACATCCTCAATTTTTCTATCAAGATTAGTTCCGAGCCTATTTAACTGTAGTTTCCATTCATGCTTGCTCTCGCCACGCAAAGATGAACCCACAACAGAAAGGCATAACGGAAGATTACCGCAAAGTTTTGCTACCTTCACTGCAACCTCTTCAAAACCTTTCCATGGAGAACGTTGCTTGAAAGCAGACATGCATAAGATCTCAAGAGCTTCTTTTCCGGATGGATAATCCACATGGTAATAGATGCTGGCCCAAGGTGCCTTCATAATCTTTTTATCTTTTGAGGTTACGATAACCCGACTTCCAGAACCAAACCAAGAAGGTTCTTTAGCCAATGCCTCAAGTTGCTCTAGATCATCCACATCATCAATAACTATAAGCACTCTTTTATCTTGTAGCCATTCTTTTACTGCCCCTAAATGATGTATCCTCACATCATTTTGGTTCAAAATCTTAGAAAGAAGTTGGTTTTGTAAGTAAAACTTCGAGTCATAGTCATCAACACCAATGCTTTTATAATTACCCTTGAGGTTCCCCATAAAGCATTTAAATTGAAAATCAGTAGACAGTTGGTTGAATAAAGCTCTAGCAATGGTAGTCTTACCAATTCCCGCAGGACCCCAGATTCCAATCATCTTCACTTCATCATATTCTAGGCATAACAAAGTGTTCACCTTTGTCACGTGAGCTTGCAGTCCAACCATGTCTTCAAAATCTCTTGACGTTGTACCATTCAGTCTGTTGGAAACAACTCTGGCAATCCTTTCGACCATAGCAGCTTCCTCATCCCTAACAATAGCAAACAAAACCATGTTGGTGGGTCTAAATTTACAACAACAAAAAAATCACTACTGAAGCATTTCTAAAGAAGACATTAGCACTACAACTGATTCAGAGAGGAAAAAAAAACTCGTACCAATTTAAAGAATGCTCTCCTGCTATGTTAGCGACATCAGTCAAAGCTTTGCTCCATCTCAGCTTCTCCTCCTCTGTCTTCCTTTCACAAGTTTTCTCGAAAGCCCTTCCAAAATCACCAATCTGTTTCCGTACATTAGACGGGTCAACATCGTAAAAAATAGTCATCACTATCTGCCCCCAAGCTTCTTTGCATTTCAAGATTTCAACCAATTCATCTAAACACCAGCTTGAAGAAGCGTAATTCTTTGAAAGCACCACGATCGAGATCCTTGATTCTCTTATTGCTTGTTTAAGTTCAGGTCCGATTGTACGGCCTCTTTTGATCTCCTGGTCTTTAAATGTCGTGATTCCCTTGCTTGCAAAGTGATAATATAAATGACTTAGAAATTTTCTGCGGACATCCGGGCCATGGAAGCTCGGGAAGACATGATATTTCATAATCTGAGTCCGAGTCGAAGAAGAAGCCATGTAAGATAGGGTAAAGAGAAAATGAAGAATATTTCAAGAGTTTTGTTTTGAAAAGAGTTCTAATTTAGTTATACAAAATCTAACGAGACCTAGAAAAATTATCATAGAGTTTTAGTTCTTGTATGGTGTAACCTCATAGTCATGGCCTTGACTACAGAAATAAATAAATAAACATATTTTGTTTTTAATTAGTCTTTACAGGTAAGGATGAATCAGCGATATGAAATTCAAGAAATGATTATTAGTGCTTAGCATTATAAATCTTGTGAATGAGTTTTGTTAATTATCGTAGACTTATGGAATCAGTTGACTTGGTTTTTCTATACTTATTTAAGATAACAAAAACTAATCAGAATATCTGTCATTTCAACACACTGCATCAAACATATTCTTAATGCTCACATAACTATCAAAGAAAGGTAGGTACTAACCTTAATGATTAATGTTATCCACAAACCCTTCGGTTTCGCTTCTGGATTGTGAAAACCAACAATAGATTCTCTTCAGCGATTCACAGTTGCTTGCGTTTAAGAAAGATTGGTAAGTGACACAAGATTTCCGCATTTGTAGATGCTTAGTCTTTTTTAGACCGACGAGCAGCTCAAATCCATTTTTCTTGAGATATGAAAGCGCCTGAATATCAAAAAATACAAGAAACCAGAAACTAATATCAAACTCCTGTCGAAGTACAACTAGAAATTGTTCATGAAACATATGTTAGAAAGGTGTTTCTTTCTCTGCTGTAACATATGTAGAATGATTCAATACGATAGTTGGAGTGGACTCAATACCCTGAGGAAGAATAAGAAGAAGTAATTGTTAGCATGACTAACGCAACTTTGAATCTTTTATAATCATCTTCTTTGTCTTCTTTCACCAAACAAGATCCAAGAACATTTATGCTTATGGCTTTCGACATTTTCAGCTCGACACAGCTTCAGGCCCATATTCAACATCTCCATCAATCGTGTGGTTGCTGCTACTCCTCTCAAGTTTATCTACACACGTTTTCTCAAAAACCACTTCCAAAATCACCAATCTGTTTCCGTACAGTGGATCTTTACTCAGTAATCGCATCCACGAACCCACAAAAATTCAACAAATATTTGAAGTTAGTCTATAGATTCCATCCATTATCAGCAGTGTTGTTACCCAAAGTTGCTGATTTTTTGTTTGTTATCTAACACCTCCAAAGAACGTTACAAACCAATAATAAATTGTCCTTGGATATACACAAAGACTTTGAGATGGCAATGCAATTCAACACACGCATGATACAGAATAATTAAAATTTCCTAGCAAAGGCTTCACTTTATTCTATATCTTATGGAAGTTGCAATT